AGCGAATTGGTTTCCAGTGAGGCAGACATGCACGACGTCTATGGGAGTAGCTGACAAAAAGGTAAAAAGCCCGCCTACGCGTGTCTCAGATGTACGCAACGAGTCTTGAGGGCGTGCGGAGGATCGATGCGGTCAAAAACGATGCTAGCCAGGAACAGGAGTAAAATCGGTAAAATCATCTTGTAGGGCCGACGAAATATATATTACCCTCGCCCAAATAGCTTACGGAATTGGTGGTTAAACATTTAATTCTTGGTTTACGTTTGTAAATGAATGTTTAACTCACTTCGGCTGTGCGACTGCCGACGAGGGGTCTACATTGAGCCTGAAGACAGCGCGGGGGGCGAACATGTTCTTTAAACCGATCGGTTAACGTCCTTCCTACGGTAATTTTTGAACTTTGTATTTTCACAAGTTTATTTTTTTTTCAACAAAGGTTTTTTTTCAGTGCGATTTCACACCTTGCTATTATTTCACTTAACAAATTACAGTACGGGGAGGAAGTCATACAAAATACCAAAGTTTGCGAATGTACGCATGTACGAATCTATGTCCGACAAAGCAAAGGGGGACCGGAATAGCCATTTCTGGCTTATTAGCCGTCATCAGCCAGTCATACCCAATCTCGAGGGTTGGCTCCGCGAGATTTGTCGGATCCGCTTCATCATATCATCTTAGTCACTATGTGACGGTCTGGAGGGCTTGCGTTGCGAGCTCCTGGGCAAAGCGGAACTTAATTGTTCCTCTACTAGATCGGTGAAACAATCACATTCATGTTTAACTGTGTTGAAATTGATCAAAGAATATAAAATTAAAGCTACATATAGTTGCTTCAATGAGCTACATAGAATCAACTCCATCAATATAAACTTATGTTGCTCAGGCAGCTGATGCCTATTGATGGAATTTTGACTTTATATTGGCGGAATTTAACCAAGAAAGGAAAAGTCGGTCTACTGAACATGTAAAAGTAAGTTATTATTATAAGTCAAAGGCAAATAGGACCTCCAAAGACAGTCCCACCATAAAATAAATAGTCAAGTAATTACCCATGATTTCGCCCTGTCACTTCTGTTGCATTTTGCGAAGCGCCCTAAAAAGGAGAATAATTAAAACGTATCAGTGCATCGAGGTAAAGGGGAGGGAAGAGGTAAAAAGTGGATTGGTTTTTAACATTATGGTACAAATAATGGACAATAGTCAATGCAGCAAAGAAGGGAAGGATAAAAAAAGAGTTGGTTTTTAGTATTAGCTTACAGCGGCAGCAGCAGTCGATGGTGGTGGCGGCGGGGTGGGATTCCAGTAATTGGCTGCGCAATCAGGACCAAAATAGCGCGAGAGTTCCGATGGTAATAACCGCCGGGGATGCGGAACAGTAAAGAGGCAGGCGACACCGGCAGTCGAGCGGAGGGCTCGCTGACTCCCAACAAGTTCCAAATGCACATTTTTGGCCTCAACAGCAGCCTCGCCTAGGAGCTAGGAAAGGTAGCCAGGAAGAGGGTTGAGATTCTGCACTCCGCAGACAAAGCACACACACAAGATGGAGGTGGGAGTGGGCTATAATTTGGGTAGTCATATATATACACACAGTATCGCGCTCATGATTTCCCAAAGAAGAGAAAGAGGGGACGAGCTCGTGGACTGAATTGTATTCGTACAGACGTTTCTGAACACTCCTCGCTTTCATCATCTGCCCCTCTCCTTAGGTAGGACAGAGGAATAGAAAGATATCCCTAATAAAGGGCACATTTCATGAAGAGTACCTACTCCCGCATCTTAAAAATAACCTCAACTGTAACCCTACCCCTTATTACAACCGTATTCACAATCCTAATTTCCCTGAAACTTGGAGCAAAGCCTGCCCTACCGGCATAAACGACACCTACCGAATTTCCTCCCTAAACAAGTTGCCATAACACTACATGCTCAAATACGAAGAGGTCTCTTTACGCTCCATATACCATTCCAACAGATATGAATCGTGTTAAATAACTTGTGAGTAGCATTAAAATATGAGAACAGTAGGCAACGGAAATACTCTTGTGTGTCCTTGGAAATATTCACCATTGAACATATGTAATGATCGAAATACGCCTTTGCCGCAAGCAGCCCATTTAAACGATTCGCTGCTTCATATAAATACAGTATGAGGAATTTTTTTGTGCAATAGACGAAAATCAGTGAAACAAGTGAGCAACTAATCCTCGTTTTTCGCAGAGTAAAATTCACACTAGCGGGCGAGGGAAGTTGTCTACTCAAAAGCCAGCGTGTCACCGTGCTTGGGTACCTGTTCACTATTCATCATTTTCGCAACCTTACACAGGTGAGGCGGGAGTAATCACTTCCGCTGAAAGATCCGATTGAAAGTTGTCAGCCGGAATTTCAGCGCATAATGAGTATGTGCAAATGCTACTGTTCCTGATGCCAAACGGCGCTACGGTGATACCATGAAAGGTTCTGGTTGTTTTTGATGCGCACAACGATGTTCAAAAAGCTTTTTCTTTAGGCTAAAACAGTAAATTATAACCTAAGTTGCGGTCGAAATTTCGCAGTGCACTATGGTAACGTTCAGCTGAAAGGTCTGCCAAAAGCCCGCTTTAATTCAAGACAACAAGAAAAGAAAAAAAATAATCAGCATTTTTCGTGTAGTGAATGACGCCACTCTTTCGTTAGATTTTCATCTGTTGTAATGATTTTTTCGTGAAGAAATAAAGTTTTACTGATTCTTGGTAGTTGACAGTCTGGAATGTCTTCGCAAGAAGAAAAAAATGGTTTTAAAAATTCTGCCTATTTCGAAAGACAGTCCGCACTTGTTCCTGTGGTTTTTAAACTGGCCGATTTGTTCTTTTTTGTTTTCTTTGAGACCAAGTTTGCAAGTAGCTTGATACCGGTGTCTGCAAATATACCTTTTGGCTATTCGTCTGTTTGCACTCGCATGCATTTTGTAAAGCAGCACTTTTTATCTTTTAAACTATAAGCCAGCGAATTGTTTGCAAAGTTTTAGTTTAGGAAAATGCATTATGAAGGGAATGCAGCATTCGGTTTCTTTCGCCCATTTTCGCATAGGTTCCGGCGCATGGCCTCCCAGAAAAAAAAACTGAAAACACAAAGGCTGTTGACATATAAATTTAGTAGCTGGAGAAAAGGAGGGTTTGGAATAAAAACTATCGAAAACCCCTTTGGAAGACTAAAAGGGATCTGCACCAGCTGCTTGCTGACAACCATTTTCGTGCACAAACTGGAAGGCAATCAGAAGGAATAGGCTATTGTATTTTTATCGGCCAAGGCTTACTTTGTATCCAAAGGTTAAATCAATCCAATGATGCAGGTTCCTTGAAACCTCCGTCGATTCCAAGATGCGACGATGATAGGCGAGAAAGTCCTCAGCCGAGGCACACCACTCGGGAAGGCCCAGATCGGGCATGTCGGCGTGGAGGGAAACGAAGACGCTGGGGTCGGAGAAGAACTCGGGGATACACTCCTCGGGTGTGCTTGCATACAGACGCGCCATGGTGCTTGGAAATTCTTCGGGCCGATAAATGGGCCGCACATACTTCTGCAACACCGGAATCGGGGTCCGTCTGGCCTACAAAGATAAGTAGCTGTGTATTAATGCTGATATCTGATATCGATGTCTCCGGAGAACAATAGATCGACGGGGATCGAGTGTGCCCCGGGAACTGCTTGGCCTACATCGAGTTCTCCTTCAGCGAGCATTTGCGGTGGATGAAAGCCAAACCCAAGCAAGCTCTGAGATGCCTGGCTTGGCCGACAGCAATGAATCGTCAATAACGCAAACCGTGCAGGTGTATAAAAACTCCCAGCGTAATACACTACTTACCTTGTACGTAAAATAAGCCAGGTTTGGCATTATGTCAAGGAGGTGGTGCGGCAAGAAGGCGGCATCCTCGCCCTCCAGGCGTCTTGCTGGCGTCACGGGCAGACAGGCAAAGGTCTCATTCGTCGAGGCGCTAGATTCCCAGACAGCAGTTGAGAGAACATCAGATGTTTGCTCAGCACGGGCGGCCGAGCTCGTCTCTTCGCCTGCTTGGAGGGGTGGAGTGT